CGCAACGCGCGCCGTGCTCGGAGCGTCTGTGCCGGTGTGCGCTGCGCGTTGGCTCGGCGTGTTGGCCCACGTGTTTGCGAGCGCATCGCCCCGGAGGCTGACACCAGCACCCATATCGGCGGCGTGCCTCAACCGAGGGAAGGTGCTCCCGATCTCGGCGAGGAAAGTCATGTTCTGGCGTCCTGGAGTGCCATCTTCCCCTGGCTGAGGCATGCCCGTGTGTTGGTGTTGGTGCCCATTTCCAGGCCTCCAAGATCAGACCTGCGTTTTCAGTCTGCGTGTTGAGTCCCCTGTCAATGCGCTGCGTGTTGCGTGTGGCGTATCGTGGCAGCAACAGGGCACCAGGCACCCCCTTCGAGTCAGGAGAACATCGCGACGGAAGGTTTTCTGTTGCTACTCTCGGCGCCTGGTGGCCGTCGCAAGGTCTCGAAGGCGGTTAACAAGCGGCTCTGGAGGAGAAGCCAGTCCTGGGGAAGGAGTCGAGACCTCTGGGGGTCGAAGGCCTGACAAAGTCATGACGTCGTGGGTGCGGGTCTCCTGATCCGCGCCCGCTCTTGCTGCTCCTCCTGCTTCCTCCCGTGCTCCCCCCTTCCCTCCCCCATGTCCTCCCTCCAGCAACCCTCCCACCCTCCCTCCCTCTCTGCCTGTCTCCCTACCCCCCGCCCCCCTGCATTATGTTCCCTCCGCATATCCCCGCAGCTCGGTCCAGGTCAGCCCTGCTCGGCTCAGCTCTTTCCTTTTCTGAGTGCTGGTCAGTCCAGTTCATCTCCAATCTCTCTTCAGCCTTGCTCAGTGCAGCCCTACCAAGATCGGTCCAGTTGGTTACGAGTTCGAAGAGGAAGGACGTGACGCAAGTCTTCGCACGCCGGCAGGCTGGCAACGTGCTGGCTTTGTGTGGAGTGGCAGCGCACTTGCACGGGTCAGTGCTCGCTGGCGTGCAAAGGGCGGACGACGACGACGAGATCGACGACGACGAGGGCGAGGAGGCAGCGGCGTCGTCGCCGCTGTCCGCGTCGCCGCCTCTTCGGCTCGAGTGCCGGAGCGCTGCTCGTGGCTCTCTGGTGCAGGGGCGCAGCGCCCCCCCCTTCCGCCCGGACTGTAGACGAAGAAGCGAAGGGCCCCAGCGGGAGAGGGCGCGTCGTCAACCGCCGCCAGGCTTCCACTCGATGATCCACGGGGGGCCCCAAGCCCGAAAGGTCGGTACGGAATGGACACGGGAAGAATGGGCACGAAGACCGACAGCAGTTCTGGTTCCAACAGTGGCCGCTGTCAATCTCGGGCAGCAATTGCTGTTAGGCACCGTACTCGTTCGCTCCGTGCCCATGTCGCGTGGGGTGACCTCAATGTGTGGTGAGTCAGTGGGGATGCGGAGTCACCACACGGGTCGTTCTACGGAGACGTCGTGGGCGACCAGGGCCCATGGTGTCCCAAAACCGTGCGGTGACGGACCGTGCTGTGAGGTCTTGCGGGATTTCGTGGTCACCGCGCGGTTCGTCACCAAAAGGTTTTGGGACCCCTACGGTCGGACTTTTTGGAAAGCGTGTCGTTCCGCCAGTTCTGGCCCGCCACGCTTCAGTGCGACGCGTTATCCAACTCCCGGCCCCCAGCGTCAACGTCCCGAGTTATTCAGAGTCACCTGCCCCGTGGAGCGGAGCGGTACGCTATTCGCTTGAAAGGCATAGCTTCTCGCTGGGGCCGCCGCCGCGACACGCTATCCACGCGATCAGGAGCGCGCGTGTTGGCGCAAGCGTATGTTCGTCCACGAAAGCGCCTTCGTGAGACGCGGGCAGCGGAGCGGGGGGCGACTCGGGCTGCGTGCTGCAGGTTTGGCTGAATGGCGTAACCACAGACACACTACAGGGATCGGGGGAGCGACCGAGGATGCCAAGGTCGGTTATATCGGGCCTACCCCTAGCCTACAAGTGTGTTACAAGTTCCCGAAGTGGCCTAGGGGGTTTGATGACTTCGCTGACTAAGGCTTCGCGAACTTAGCATGGATCGTTAACCCTCTATGCCGCCGATGTCAGGTGTAACACCTGTAAAAGCTAGCTCAGGCCAGCTAGATCCAACTTTGCATCCACTGATATCCGTCTTATCCCCTCAGCCACCCCCGCGCCGATCCAAGTAGATCCGATTATGTTCTAGGATGCGTTGATGCCTGCGCCCCCTGACCTCTCGTCGGCGTCGATCCAATATACTAATACTATGTGCGCGGCGTCCCCCCAGGGGAGACGCGCGCACCGAGAACTCTAATAGTGTATGCGTCGTGGCGGGCGCTTTCTGGCCAGGAGGGGGAGGTGGAGGAGGAGGAGGAGAAACTCAAATCTGGTCTGATGTGCTCAAGACATCGGATGCCTGCAGGACGGTCGTGCCGACACATTAGTAGTGGATATGTCTATATGTATGTGTATGCATGTATGTACATATCTATATATATATATATGTATATACGTGTAGCTGACGATTTTTAAGATACGCATGTGTATATATATATATATATATATATATATATATATATATATACATGCACACACACACTCCTCGGACGAGGCCCCCTGACCGCGCCCGGGAACCTCCGCGGGGCATGTGGGGATCAGGGCCTCAGAAGGCCCTCACGAGGCATCCAAGACGGCCCAGGCCGTCCCCAAGACGCCTCCAAGAAGTCACCACAGGCTCCCGGACCGTGCAAGATCCCTTCCAGAATGCCCACGAGGCCCCCAAAACTTCCCAAGAGGGATCCAAGATGGCCCCCAAAAGCGCCCCAGGAGGCTGACATCGTCCTATCCCTTTAGACAAGCTTACCTTTCAGTATGTACAAGTGGCGGCGGGCTGCCCCAGCGTGAACCCCGACCCCAGACGCCACCACGATGGCCCCCAAAACAGCCCAAGAAGCTCCCAAGAGAGGCCGAAGACGGTCCAGGCCCCTAGAAGGCCCAAGACGGCTCAGGAAGGCCCCTGCAGGCCGCCAGGGGAGCCCAGAGGAGGCCCCTGGACACCCCAGACGCCGTCCAAACCGCCTCAAAACAACCCAAGAAGTCCCCGAGAGAGCCCGAAGACGGCCCAAGAGGGCCCCTAAGAAGGCCCACGACTGCCCAGAAGGCCCCCAGGGGAACCCAAAAGAGGCCCCCAGGCACCCCCAAGAGAGCCCATGGACGCCGACAGCTTACGAAGACGGCACAGAGAAGCCCCAGGGGCCCTCAGAGGGTTTCTAACATCGCTCAAAGTATCCAAAGAGGACCCCCCAAGAGAGCCCCACCAGGGCCCCAAGACGCCCCTGGAACGGCCAGAGAGCCCTCTAAAATGGCTTTGGGTCTTGTGCTCCAGTGTCCGATCCGATTCGGCCCGATCTGATTCGAATCCGATATTCTGGCAATCCGATGCGGTCCGATGCTGACATGGCGTCGTTGTGTATCCCGGCGTGGCTGATCCGATTCGATTTCGATTCCGTTCTGGTGCGGCCCGATCTGGCTTACATTCCGATCCGATCCGAATTATTCGTTCGATGCTGACTGATCCTGCTCTCCACCTTACCTCCTCATCGTTCAACCGAGCTCCGTCGCCACTGGGCCATGATATCTAAGCCTCACCATCGCACTCCCCCCAAGTTTGTCCACCAACGATCTTGGTTCGGTTCGTTCAGGGTCTCCACCACGACCACTCCGGTTCGGTTCGGTTCGATTCGTCTTGGGGGGAACGCTGGTTCGCGCCGTTGGATTCAGTTCGATTCATCCTGGTTCATTCCGGCCGGTTCTGGAACCGTCGTGCAATCGGAGATGACATTTTGCGTCGAAGAGACACCAGGAAGGGTCCGGCAACGCTTCTTCAACGGATGACCTCATATATTCCAGAACGTTCTCAGAGCGTTCCAGAACGCTCTGAGAAGGCCGCCGCGCCCGCGACATCCTTCCAAACCGCCAGATCTCAGAGATTCTCGATTTATCCTCACTCGATTTTATCCTCGTCCTGGCTTCGTCTTAACAAAAGTTTTCTTAACTCCCATACGTTCCGTGGTTCTCAACCTTCCCAGGTTTCGCAGAACTCCCATATTCACCATACTTGCCGCACCTTCCCATAATTTCCTACTTCCCATACTTTCCATACTTCCCGTTGTTCCCACTCTGTCCACAAGTGCCATAACTCCTAACATCCGCATACGTCCCCTTCTTCCCATACGGCCCATATCTCAAGTATGTTTGACATAATTTCGATATGGACGTAATACCTGTTCAAAACATGTCGTTTACCCTACCCCCATCCACACTGGGCCATGATATATCAGCCCTTCCATCTCACCATCCCAGTTGGGGATCTGCAGCCTATGTCCCAATCCAGGGGGGTAAAACGGCCAAATGGTGCCCGGGCCACGTCAGTTGAAATGGGGATCGCTGGACAATACTTTCCAGAATCGAAATATAATAAAGACGCGCTCTCCTGCCGCCTGCGATCTTCGCAGCAACGCTGGCGGCGGCATGAGCGCGGTGCAGTGATCCTCCAGGAGCACCTCGGGGCGGCCGAACGGCGGCGAGGCGGGGCTCCGCCGCAGCAGCGCAACCCCGTGCTGCTGCCGCTTCGTTCTCGTGGGAGGCGGCGCAGCCCGCTGCGGAGGCACGCCGGGCCGGGACTCACAACGCGAGCGCGAAACTCGCCTGCACGTCACCACGGTAAGGCATCGGCTTGCGCGCGGACAGCCCCCCTACGCCCCCCAGGTTAGTCTCCACAGGCCCCCCGAGCAGTCCCAGCTGGCCTGAAAAGGCCCTCCCAGTGGTGCGGGGCGGTCTCGACACCCTGGCGCCGCCCCTGGGGCGGTCCGCGCCCCAGGGTTGGGGTGCTGAGACCGCCCCTGCCCACCCGGTGGGCCTGCTGAGGCCAGCTGGGACTGCTCGGGGGGCCTGCTGAGGCCAGTCGGGACTACCTCGGGGGCCACGTCGTAAGGACGAGCAGCTCTGCACGGGTGCCCTGGCGTCCTTCCCTCGTCGGCCGTTCCCTCATCCGCCTGTCTG